CCAAAGTCTTTCCAAATATCCCAAACGCGTGCCCACCTATTTTATTTGCTTCAATCATTTCAATGGGTCTGGACTGACTGCTATTAATTTAGTTAACATCCCATATTCAATACAAAAGGGTCGGTATCTATTACTTAACCCATTATCGAATGCAGGTGGTGTTATTTCTGTTTAAAAATAATTCATTTCAGCTCGTGTTATTTCCCATCACTCTTTATTTTTATTTGCTGATTCACTATAGTTGATGCTCTGAGCTTATAACTGGTCATTGTGACAAAACTAAAATCCTGAACTCAACAAACATGATTTTTTAAGGGAAGGAACCTTAGTCTTGTAAACTTGTTTTGTTGACATTAATGGTATTTAGAAAAGGTGTGTTATTATAATGAGCCATTGACAGTCTTCATACAGTCCTGATGCATCGAGGCATAGGTCGTAATTTTCTCAGCAAATTTATTGAATTTCTGTATTTTAAGATCAGGCGTTTATGAGAGATTTTCTGTTTGTTCAATCTAAAGAGCTTATTAGAACTCGTCATTTTTGATTTTGACGTTAATGAATGTGGGGGAAGATAAAATGACTTGTCAATTTGGACTTAAAATTATTAAAGTTTTGTGCGTTCCTGTATTATTTCGAATAATTAGCAGGGCAAAACGGGAATATATTTTGTTCGATGTAGTGAAGCGTGTCGTACAGCTTAACAACTACAAACACGATATTCGAAATTCAAAAAAGAGTTTCTCTTATTAATTTCGTCGAATTAGAACAAGAGACTCACAATCTATCAAAGAATGCGACTTATTTTATAATTTCAGATTTATTTCAAGATAAAGTCTAAATTAAGAATTCATCTTTTTGGAAAATGAAAGCGAATTAGGTTAAATTTTTCACCTAGTATTATTTTACGAGTCTAGCTTTTGGTGCAAAGAGTCCAAACAGGCAGAAAGCAGTTCATTTCTAATATTAATATTCTTTTTCGCTTGAAACCAACAGTTTCTATCGTAACCATACCTACCAGAAAGTAATAAAAGAAAGCACGTTTGGCTCAATAACACTAAAGTTGGGCGCCAAAGAACGTTGAATCTTTGAGGGTATAAAGTGATATATTTAATGCATGGATAACTTGAGTTTGACTTTCATTCCATGATATAAATTGAATATCCACTCATAACTTCTTTATTTCTGTGTGGCTGAAATAAAACGAAAATGAAAAATACCGAGCTTTCAAATGTGGATATAACAAACTTTTGGCGAAAAAACAGCTTCAGCTATTTGAAATAAACAAGATCATTGTCAATAATTTTAGTTTTTACAAGGGTTTACTTCTTAAACCTTTTCTCAGCGATATTTGTTTATGTTTATAATGACACCCCATGTAGAAATTGTAGTTCCATCATTACTGTAAATAGAGAAAAGTGCCAAATTATAAAAAGTCAATGCTGGCGGTTCCAAGCTCGTCACAAATTGTGAAACTCGAAACGACAGGAAATTCCATAAAGTGATGAGAGAGGTATTAATGCAGTGACGAAGCCCGCTGTTTGGGTTCAATTTACGGTAAAGAAAAATAGAGTTTATGACAAAAATCTTCTTTATTTGAAATATCTAACGTGCCAAAAATTACAGTTTTTTTTTTCTGTACTTAGAAAGATTTCCTTTCACAGATTGTTTTGTTGTATCCCTCAACTTAGACCAATATGCAGCTCGTTTGAATTCCGTTCATATTGTGACAATAGTGATGATTTTGAACGAGAAGAACCTCGAAAAAATATGGAAGTTGATTTACATGGCTTCCAATCAGAAAAATAAGTCGGGAACCAAATGTTGGCCCACATGTCTCTTTAACCTTAAGTCTGCAACAATTTTATCTAACGGAGGAAAACCTGAAAATGTCTTATAATTTAAAAGTTCTTCCAATGAAGGTCTTGGAAGCCAGATCCGATACTGAATGGTTTGGATGAATCCAATCATAAATTACGGTTCACCTTTTTCCAACATCAATTTTCTATTATCTTTGAGATGAAAATGGCGCTTAAAACAACATTCAGGGGTTCTCCTTCGACAATCTTTATTCAATCGTGATGTATCGAGACAAAAAATTTATGGAATTTTTTGTTGTTTAATATCCACCATCTACGGGAGATTTATTGTTTGTTCAAACTAAAGAGCTTATTAGAACTCGTCATTAATTTGACGTTAATGAATGTCGGGGAAGATGAAATGGCTAATAACTTAGGACTTCAAATTATTGCGTTCCTGTATTATTTCGAGTAACTAGGAGGGCCAAACAAGAAAATATTTTGCTCGCTGTAGCGAAGTGGGAGGTACAGCTTAACAACTTCAAACACGATATTCTAAATTCAAAAAGGGGTTTCTCTTATTCATTTCGTCGAATTAGAACAAGAGACTCACAATCTATCTAAGAAAGTGGCTTATTTTATAATTTCAGACATATTTCAAGATACAGTCTTAGTTAAGAATTCATGTTTTTGGAAAATGAAAGCTAACTGTGCGAGTGTTTTTTTTTGGCGGTACATAAGATCTATTTTTATTACCATATTTTTATGAGAATTTTCTTTTCCTCAATTATTGACGCTTCAATTAAGGAGTTTCCCCTGAGAATGAAACAAAAAAACAAAACAAAACAAACACACAAACGAAGAAACGTCGAATTTATGGATCGATCTTGAAAATTGGGAGTTCTAAGAAACTCAAGGGAACTTGGCTTTTTATGTGACTGCATTATTGGAATATGTTCACCTAATGTTCTTAAGAATACTTTTATGATGTTATTGTTGCACTCCATTTACTATAATTATGAAGCAATTGAAGTTAATGTTATGGAGATAGCCCATCAAAACCAAAGTGTTTCTAAATGGCACAAAGGAAGACATTAGAAACGTGTTCATTCGCAAACTTTAAAACGCGTACCCGCGTATATTATTTGCAGGGTCAGGACTGACAGCTGTTAATTTTGTTAACATCTCATTTTTAATACTAATAGGTCGGTTTCTATCACTTAAATTCATTATCAAATGCAGGTGGTCGACGGGAAATTTGTGGCACACTGAAAGCATCAATACTGAGCTCCGTTGTTTTGAGGAAGCATGGAATTTTCAGCCTTTCTAGTATTCGCAGTCTGGACTTCATCGATGACTTACTTGATGTTTGGTAATGGTGAGTTAAAAAATGTGCATCATTTTCCATCCCTATATTCATACTTCAGCCCGTGCTATCTTATTTTCCGTCACTCTTTATTTCTATTTCGTTGATTTACAACAGTTGATGCTCAGAGCTTATTAACGTGTCGTTATGACAAAATTAAAAACCTGAATTCAACAAAGATGATTTTTAAAGGAAGGAACCTAAGTCTTCTGAACTTCTTTTGTAGATATTAACAGTATTTAACAAAGGCGTATGATATACCATATCGAAAATTTTCAGTTGTTACAAAAAAAGTACGAACTGCTACGATGAAGAATTGCTTCATTCAAAACAACTTCAATCCTAACGCTCATCAGCTCATATTTACATGGAAGAGTAATTCTATCAAAAACATTTCGTTGTTGTTTTGCAGACGGGAATTAGATAATCTGCATGGAAAAAAAAAAAAAATTGGCCGCTCTTAGCCAACTTAAGCGAAGTTATTTTTATAGAAGGACAATGCCATGTGGCATTTGGAATAGACCAATTTCTACTGATTTTAAATATTTGCCTATAAAGATAGGGTGGCCCGTCTTCATATAATTTAACCATTGTGTGGGATTGAAAAAATAAAACCTTTGACGCAAATTCCTTTTAAATATTGCTTTTCGAATTGGAGGCTTTAAAACTTGCCAAAGAACAAATAGCTTAATTGACATGATCCTCAACAAAACCTTTGCACAGAAGCTATATGTAATTTTCCAATTTTGTGTTCTTTCATAATCAATCTCCCAGCAAGGATTCCTTTGACTAAAATTTATATAAATATATATTTTCAGTGTTTTAAAAACTCTGTTGCTGTGATCAATATTTTTCAATAGCAGAAAAATGATTTGGGTAGACTTTATTCGACATTAGAAAAACAACTAGTGAATTAAAACGATGAACAGATAAAATGAGTTGTTTTCAGAAAACAAATGACAGAAATAAAGAGATGATTATATTCACCATGGCTAAGCAATTCAAACAACTTTCATTGGCTCGCAAAAGTAAAAGAAATAAAGTTTCATTCTACATTTGCCCGTTTAGAAAACTCTCGAAAACGAATACAAAGCTGCTCATTGACGCAGAACAAGAATGATTTTTCTCGGCTTAAATTTGCATGAATTCCCTCTGTTCACGATAGTCGTTCGAAGAAAAGAGCCGCAAAGGAGCTCTTCAGTTATACATTTCGTTAATAAACATTCAATAGTCAAGCACCTGTTTATATAAAGAAAAAAAAAAAGGAAGAAGAAAAACTTCACACTTTTTCACTTTAAGACGATCTCTGGTCAAAGTTTTTGAGATATTAAAGGCTCCCTATAAAAGAATTTAAATTGTGTTCATTGCACTGATGAAAAATGCATCAAAAAATGCAAACATCAATTAACTCCCTCTGTAGTAGGAATTTCACAGAGTGTTTGATGAGCTCGTCTTTTCTATCGATATGATAGACTCATCTAAAAACGTACGAGCTTCTTGAATTGTGAAACTCGAAATATTTGCCGTAAATTTTCCGTATCTCAGAAACCCCTAAACTCTCAAATAAAGGTATTTTCATGTTATTGTTTAATTGTAGAAAACGACGAAGCAATTCACAAAATTTTCAATTACATCTAACGAATCATCGTTTTTCTCACCGACTGCTATGTTTGACTTACGTTTTTAACGCATTTGCCACCATAGTTTGCTGAGATCCGAGAATTTTTGCGAAGAGATTTGTTCTTAGAACTTTTTACTCGAAATTTCTTTTTCGTGTGACGGAAAAGTTTGCCTTATAATCATATTCCAATTTGTCTATTTTAGAGCGAGAGCGCGCAATGGTGTTTCCGGACTACTACTTCTTTGCCGAAAGACGTTTGGTAAACCATACCATTGAAAAGAAAGGCGTCAATAACTTGGATGACTGTGAGCTACTGTGCTACCTGAACGACCACTGTGTCAGTCTTAACTTCGAAAAAGATCCAGAGAATAATAGACCACTTCACATCTGTGAACTAAATAACGCCACTCATCTAAAATACGACAGTCATTTGACAACTAATGCCACTTTTTATTATCGCGGCTCGAAGGTGAGTTACAAATCGATTTTTCGAAGTTATCGCCTTTGAATAATAAAATAACAAAAATTAATGTTTATACAAATTTTTGTGTATTCGATCATTCGGTATTTCGTTCTCCTTTCATTTTAATTTTTCTTTTTCTTTAGAACGCTTGTGACAAGAGTCCCTACTGCGAAAATAACGCAACTTGCCAGTCTGGATTTACACTCAAGGGATATCGATGCTTGTGTCCTCCTGGATTCAAAGGGGAATATTGTGAAAAGGGTATGAGTCTAAGTCAACACTTGAAATGAACCTCTGTGAAATTTTTTCTGATTTTCAATGCTGGTATGACAACTGTTCTTTAGTTGCTGAAAGTGGCGTGAATTTATCTCATTGTATAAGGTGCTGAATCTTAGAATCTAAGACAAATTTCTTACTATATTTTATTGAGCATGTGTAATGTATTCTTCGTTCGCTCGTTTATATATTTTGGTTTTGTTTTGTTTTGGTTTGTCTGCTTGTTTGTTGTTTTTTTGTTTTGTTTTTTGTATTTGTATATGTTTTTTTGTTTTATTCTTTTATTTTTTTTATCTACCTTGAATGTTCGACGCCTTTCCATGGCAAAATAAGAGCAGTTCATACGTATGTCGAGTGCTTAATATAGGAACTGCAAGGAGAGCTCAGAAACAATAGCTTAATTGAAAAGTACGGCCAGAGAACTACTAAAAGCAGGAAGCTACAAATAAATTGAGGTGTTCGTGAGTTGCTGAGTTGCTGAGTTCCTATGGCTGTTTGATAGAAATCAAAATGCTTATATCTGTAATCGATATTTATTCATGTATTTTTTTTGGTCCTTCTTTCTTTCTAATTTTACGACAGAAAAATGTGAGGCATTCATTGGCAAATGTCACAAGGAGGCTACGTGTAATAACACAAACGGATCATACGTGTGCATATGCAAATCTGGATTTATCGGAGATGGGCATAATTGTACAGGTAACCTTCATTAATCTCAAAAGCCTTTAAATTCTTGTTGAATAGTGTAATGAGATTTTGTTTGATTGGTTGTCTGTTGATGTTTATTTTGGTAACGTGGCAAACCATATTTTAATTGTTTAGAATAGGTGAGACAGTTACCTGACTTAAAGTTATTAAGAGATAGGTTTTTTGCGTAGACAACTTTTTTTCATCAGGTACGACAATCTCGCGTTCTTACAATCCAGCAAAAGATTGAAAACAGCCACGGCTTGCACTCTTAAACACAGTAATGGCTTATGCACAACAATTTTTGCATGATTTCGAAATCCCATTTTTTTTTTATCTGTGATTTCATAGACATTGACGAGTGTAAAGGAAACTACTCTTGTCACGAGAATGCAAACTGCACCAACACCAATGGATCACATTTATGCGATTGTCAGCCTGGATATACTGGAAATGGACAAAATTGCACAGGTAAATTCGGAAAAGCAAGGAAATGCGATCATGGATGATTTATTTTAGTTCGTTCTTTCTTTTTTTGTATATATAACGTGTTTTGTGCTCCCGTAGCAAAACAAGAGCAGTTTAAAACGTATGTTTTAGATAACACAGTAAAGGCTTATGCCACGGCAATATTTGCATAATTCTGAAATCCCATTTTTACATCTGTGGTTTCATAGACATTGACGAGTGTAAAGGAAACCACTCTTGTCATGAGAATGCAAACTGCACCAACACCAATGGATCACACGTATGCGATTGTCAGCCTGGATATACTGGAAATGGACAAAATTGCACAGGTAAATTAGGAATAGCAAGGAAATGCGGCCATGGATGATTTATTATAGTTCTTTCTTTCTTTTTTTGTATATATAACGTGTTTTGTGCTCCCGTTGCAAAACAAGAGCAATTTATAGCGTATGCTTTAGATAGTCTTTGCCGTAGCAGAGAAAAAAATTGAAAAATACCGGTTTGAATTGTAGGTCCAACCCAAGAATCGCATGAAACAAAAAAATTGCAAACGAGTATTCCACTTTTTTTCACATACATGTACATGTATGACTTTTGAATAAAACACAAATCCCGTTTTTCATTCTTTTCTCTTTTTTTTTTTTTTTTTGACAGATATTGACGAATGCAAAACATATCCCTACAAATGTCACGTAAATGCTCTTTGTAACAACATGCACGGATCACACGTTTGCACATGCAAACCTGGATATACTGGAGATGGACGCAACTGTACAGGTACAGTCAATAATCTCAGGAGTCTTCAAGTGTTCTTTAGTTGCTGAAAGTGGCGTGAATTTCTCTCATTGTATAAGGTGCTGAATCTTAGAATCTAAGAAAAATTTCTTACTATATTTCATTGAGCGTGTGTAAAGTATTCCTCGTTTGCTCGTTTGTATATTTTCCTTCTGTTTTGTTTTGGTTTGTCTGCTTGTTTGTTTTTTTTGTTTGTATGTTTTTTTTGTATTTAATTTTGTATTTAATTTTGTTTTTTTGTTTTATTTGTTTCATTTTTTTTATTTACCGTGAATGTTCGACGCCTTTCCATTGCAAAATAAGAGCAGTTCATTTGTATGTCGAATGCTTAATATAGTAAAGTTAAGGTGAGCTCAGAAATAATAGCTTACTTGAAAGGTACGACAAGAGACCACTAAAAGCAGGAAGCTACAAATAAATTGAGGTTTTTGTGAATTGCTAAGTTCCTATGGCTCTTTGATAGAAACCAAAATGCTTATGTCTTTAGTTAAAATTATTATTTTGTCTTTTTTCCTTTTTTTTTTTTTCTGACAAATATTGACGAATACAAAACATACCCCGGTAAATGTCAAGTAAATGCTACTTGTAACAACACACACCAGATGCAAACCTGGATATACTGGAGATGGACGCACCTTTTTTGCTGTTTTTGTTGTTGTTTTCTGTTTTAATACCGTGGAAAGCCAAAATTTAATTTTTATAACGTAGGGGGAGGAGTTAACCCTAAAACTCTTGTAGTGCTAGTTTACTTGTTTTCTCGTTTGAAGAAATCTTGATCTCTTGTTTTCGCAATCCAGTAAAGGGTTCACAACAGCCACGGCTTGCATCTTTAACAAGGTAATTTGTGATGCACAGCAAATGCTACATAATTGTGAGATCCTTTTCCTATCTGTGATTACTTAGATGTTGACGAGTGTAAAGGAAACCACTTTTGTCACAAGAATGCGAAATGTACGAACACCATTGGATCACATGTATGTGAATGTCAGCCTGGCTATACTGGAAATAGACAAAATTGCACAGGTGAATTTCATAGATTTTATTTAACTAATAGGGAAGCCTTGACTGTGCTCTGTTTAATTATTTTAGGTCGTGCATGGGAGATTTCTTTTAGTTCGTTGTCATTGTTTATGCACTACGATGTATACATGGCTGATCGATTGCTAATCGCTTCATATTCTAGTTTACGCCCGATTTTTGATGCATAAGATTTTGCTCTTCATGTAAGAAACGTTGGTGTTATCAAAATTTCGAGTATTACATTTTGTGATATTTAGTTTGTTCATTCTTGTAAAGACTATGATTCACTCAATCTTGGTCGTAACGTAATAAAGTATGCTTGTTTTCTTTCAGACATTGACGAATGTAAGGAGGGTCATAATATTAAAATGAATGAATGTTATCATAATGCCTATTGCATTGATACTCAGAGCTCATGCCACTACTCAGTTTAATTCCACAAACACTGAGAATGGTTTGAATGCGATCGTGTGTTTGTTATGTCACAAAATTTTTAACGCGCCAATGCAGTATTGGATAAAACCTAACCTTTTGCTTTTTCTGGTGGCCATTGTCGTCCAACTGAAATTCAGATCCTGCTGAATTAATTTGGATTTCCATTATGACTGATATACTGACCTACAAACGGGCTACTTGATCTTTCACTATAGATGCATAGTCATTGTTCATGTACACGACAGGTTTCGCTACTGATTGGCAAGCTGTCAGAATTATAGGACTTCACAAAAGATCTTAAACCACTGGTCCTTATGACCAAACTCCTGTTGCAATTATTATTTTACTTATTAATTTTACTTAGCCGATCTTTGCTATCATTATAAAAACCTGAGTACAGCCGATCGAAATAGAATAAATTAAACACCGCTATCTGGACCGCTGTTGTATGACAATTCACTCGAACTGATTGACTTAAAAAAAATGTCAACAACAAAAAAATTATCCTTGATACTACAAACTTTTTTTTTTAATTTATAGCCGACCCATGTTATAATTATCAAAACCTGAGTGATGCCAATAGAAAGGAGAGTTACGCTACACCGAAATATGGACAATCGTTATGTGACAACTTACTCCCTGAGGGATGGCATCGTTTTGTGGGAGCTGCAGGAACAAAAATGCCAGTAAGACGTGTGCCAGCATTCAGTTGTGGTACAGACTGGTCAGGCTGGTTGGATGGTGCTCAGCCTAAAGTGGAAGATGGTGAAGTTCGTAGGAAGGTCTGTTTTAGTGATCGCTCTACTGGTTGCAAACACTCAACATATATTTTTGTAAAAAACTGTGGACCCTACTTCATCTACAAACTTTACCCTTTCACGGTTTGTCCCTCACGCTACTGTGTTACAGACTGAATGTAAAGCAAATATATTAGGCGTGGTAAGAGAACTCATTGATCGAACCGCAGGTACATGTGTATAATGTTTTTAACATGCGACGTAGTTAACCTTTCTTTTCTATCGTAAACATTATCTGAAGAATTAAAACATTGGTGGCAAACAGGTTTCTATTTCATTAGAATGATAATTCTCATCAGATAGCCTCTGTCATCGACGAGAGTTGCCCGAAGGATCTTTAGATTGATCTTCAAGTAAAATCTGCAAGACACAAACTCTCAAGCTAATAGCTTTCGAACCTTTTATCTGTTTTTTTCGTTTTTTTCTCACCTTTTTCTCGCTGTAATTATAAACCATGGTTATTTTAGGTGCTATCTTACGTTAGAGGCATAGAAAAAAATGTGATGACAGTCAAAAATATTTTTGTAAAAAACTGTGCTTCCCACTTCATCTACAAACTTTACCTTCCTGCTTATCCCTCATGTTACTGTGGTAAAGACTGAATGTGAAGCCAAAAATTCAAGAAATAAGAGAACTCATAAATTGATCCTCGATACACGTACTTCAGGGATTTTGGATTTTTATGACAATCATTAATTTCCTCTATACATTTTATACGCTGAGGATGTCTTGTTAACTTGCAATCAAATAAGCTTTGATTTTCAAATTTTACAAAGCATCTCTTTCGTAAAAATAATCACAAATAATCAATTGCTGATAAAAGAACTAATAACAAAAAATTATTAAGATAATAAAAAAGGAAAATGCTTAAAAATTGAAATCCTAGACAAGGAAGAACACCAATCAGCATGATAACTAGCAAATATGACGAAACTTTTTTTTTCTCATAACGTTAAAAGCTGCAAAACAGGATGCAATATATAGCACAGTATGATAATTTTCGCTTCAATTTATTTTAAAAATTACATGCCTCTTTTGTTAGTGCTAATGATGTGTTTAGTCTGTTAGTTGCTTTGAAAATAAACAGCACGATTATCTAAGAACTGGTGTGGGTAAATAATATCTAATGTAAGGCAGTAAGGTATGGCATTAAAGATTAACCATTTTTATTGCAGTTTCATACTAAAATGAAAAAAAATTCTAAGTTGAAAAGTTTTGAATGAAATATATTGCCCTTGTTCCAATCCTTTGAAACCATGCATCATGATGTGGAAAAGAAATTTCAAATGCCAGTGCTAGGTATTCTGGGTTTAGGTTAGCGGGTAAGGTTTAAGGGATTGGGGATGAAGTTACACGCGATTCCCTGGTGAATTATTTATCTTCCTAGCCTGAGAAGAAATGTAAACGCATAACAAATCAGATAAACACTTGCTTTATCTTTATGAACCTAGACTGAAAAATTTAACATAAATCATAGATGGTCTACTCAGAGGAAACTGAGATAGGTTGAATCATTTTTTTAGGTCAGCTTTTTAAACTGTGTAAATAGAGGAGAATAGAAAAATTAATCGTTATGTTTTAAAGAAATTGTACAACTCTTAATATATACATTTATCTTACCTTGTGTATTTAGTGAAATTAGATTAAATGCAACGTATATGATTTAGTAAAGGTCTGGTAGCGGAAAAAACATGATAAAATTTCCAGTAGATGCATGAACCAAAGCCGGGGCAGTGACTTGAAAAGTCTGAAAACGGATCAGTTAACTGTGAATGCTTTCATAACTAGTTCACTATTGATATGTAAGGTCGATATTATTCACTATTGTAATATTAGCTGTCATGATCGTAAACTAGAGATAATAGAGGAATAGGAATAAGTCATGACTTTTGACACTCAACTGAAAACTGTTAAGCAGCTTGAATTCCATGTAGTGCGTACATTTAAGCTTTCGCAGTAGGGATTGCTTAATATAACATTGCGTACTCCTTTATTTAGTTGCAAGGCAATACTCATAACACAAGTAATGCTATTGTCCAGTTGTTATTAGCGGAAACAGAGACGAGGAGGAAGAGATTTGCAATGAATAAAAGCGGAATGACCCATTCCTTTTTTCAGGAGTTTAAAATAAATACGTTTAGTACTTGCGATATTCCGTAAAAATCCTGTTCTCATAAGGTTGTTTGTAAAAATCCGTGAAATTGCCTTTTGTTTTAAGTGTATCTGACACCAAATAAATATGTAAATTAAGACATGTACACATTAAATGAAATAAATGCTTTGCTCACGCTCGATACCAAGTTTCTTTTTTTACAGTGAAACGTGACTTTCATTGGTAGGAGGTAATCAAGTGTTAACAACTGAGTTGAAAACGTAAATTAGCCACCATAAAGGGGAAAAAGCTGACGTTTCGAGCGTTAGCCCTTCGTCAGAGCGATTGGAGGAATTGTGGGTTGTGTTTGGGTTTATATGAAGAAAGTGGAGCTACGCCATTGGTGGGAATATCGTGACGAGAAAACAGTTGAATGAAATGCGCTCGTTGATTCCGTGGGGATTAAGGGTGCCGATTTGGAAGATAAATTTTTGTTCTAGTGTTTTGCGGCTTTCCGAACTGCCTAGATGCAAGGAAAGGCTACAGACCGCCATCTGCTTTTTAGAATGATTAGGGAGATTAAAGTGTCTAGCGACTGGTTTGGATGCATCCAGATGTCGATTAGGTTCATTTAATAGGTGAATTTTAAAAAATTGTGACTGAAAAAGTTAAGTGTTCAAGGCGTGATCACGGCGTGACTATGCCTCTGATGCTTGCGTAATCAAAAAGGAATAACATTTGTGGCTTCGCCTCCTATAGAAGACAGTAACTACACATATTGCTACTAGAAATCAAGAGAGGAAAGCGTGATCACAGGTTGGTAATTAGATGTGGTCACGGCCTGGGAAGCCTGTGATAATAGCGTGATCGCTGTTGACGACTAGTTAGTATCCTTCACTATTGAAAAGGCGTGAGTAATTTTGTTACTACGTGTAGCTTACTTTTGATTTCGCCGCTGTTTTTTTTATTTTTTTTACTTATTTGTGACTCTATAAAAAAATATGAATTTGAACGCTCTCTTAATGATGTATTAGATAAATAAATTATCAAATCAATAGTACACTTGAAAAAAAATGCACCGTAAACTCGTAAACTTCCTGTTTCCAGAGCTGAGAGAAGTATTACTTATTGTCAGCTTAACCTTCGCCTCATTGTTGTACCACTCTACATTTCCCTCCATCTTTCCAGAAAGTTTAAACGTTAAAACAGCTTTAATGCAATAAAACAAATTTTCTTAAAACCAACCGAAGTAAACGCATAAAACAGACATTTCAATTACGCTTTGCTGAATTTTCGCTGCATTTAACTTACCAGGAGATGTTTACTATGTAAAAGTTTTTTTGCTCAGTCAAAACATAAATATTTGGGATCTGCCATGAAAAATCTTGAAAACAGTAGAACCGTTCTTTTGATGTATAATCTCTTTGGATAACAATATGACAGCCATTGAAGTGTTTTCAAAGATCGCGTACAACAACTGTCATAGGACCACTTGACATGCATGTCGCGAACGATGATTTGCAAAACTCATCTCTGCGTGTGGTCACAGCACAGCATAAAAATACTCAGTAGTGATATTGTCATTTGCAGACTGGAAATGGATAATTGTGTAGATTTCCTGCTGAGGTGTAAGTTAATCTCATTGTACGGACCCGTGGGGATTGTAAAAAGAGATTTATTTTTAACTCGTTTATTTATTTGTTATTTGAACTTGCAAGTTCGCGAGCCCAAACCGTATCAGTAACCACAGCAACAACTTGGTACGTTACCTTAAACGAATCGAAGAGTGCTTAATTCCTCTAGTGCGACACGCTGTATGGGTGTCCGTGCCTGAAGTGAAAAACTCTCGGGAAATAAGTAGAAAGATTCGAAAACTTCTCCGTTTTTGAAATATTATAACAGTAAGCTAATTAAAATATATTAAAGTTAACACGGCAACCAAATGGACAATCAAACTGCAGATGAAAAATATCCTCTTTGCAATGACTTTGACAACGAATACATCGGACAGACCAAACGTCAGTTTGGTACACGGTTAAAAGAGCACCAAAAAGCGGTTTTCCTTTGAAAAAGGAAAATTGAGCTTTATCGGAGCATACATGCCTAACCAACCATACAATTGGGTGGGATAATTCTAAAATTATCACCACTAATCGGCGTTACCACCAGCGCCTTTGTTTGGAGGCTTAGCATATTAACTCCGTTCACGGTCCTTTAAATCGTGACGATGGCGGTTTGCTTCCTGACGCCTATTTACACCTCGTCAGAAAAAAGGCTGCTAATTAGTGATCATATAAAAGGACCTCTTGTTGCAGCGTTTAGATCACCCCTGATGAAGGCACTAGACAGGAGTGTCGAAACGTTGGGTCTATGAATTGTAACTTCGTCGGTTACATTCATTAAATCTGTAAACCAGGGTAGCATCAAACCATGTCCAGTAAGCTCACTTTTGGCAGGATAATTTGATTTCTTCGCATTTAATTCTCGTTGGAATTATACAATTTACTTAACACTTTTTAACCAGATAAATCGTATCATTTTTTCCTTGTGGCAAAATGTATACTGAGACAAATTCTCGAAAGCCACCATGCTGATATATATTTTCCAACGTTTGATCCTCTTTACGGAATTGTGATGTAAACTAATCATGTAACAAAGGTTGTTTCCTGCATTTGCCTGTCGGCATAAGCAGTAGACCACACTTCCCATCCATTTCTCATCGTAAAAACCCATGCAGGATGTTGGGTGAGAAAATGAGAAAAATGTATGAATCACTAGCGGGAGGCTAGTGATTTAAACACTTTTTGGTTATATATATTGCCGGTTATCCGAATGAGAGTACTGTCTATTACTTTTATAAAGTAAACTAGACACAAAACCCAGTATGTTCAAATTTTCTATAGGTTTTCCGGTGCAGTAAACAATAGGAATTGATCTATCAGGGCGCTTTTAGTATCTCAGTTATTTTGTATTGACATCATGATTTAATGATGAAATATAATTTCAGTTTTGCTCGGACAGGATT